CATTTAAAGACCAGGCTTGACACTAATGAAAACATACCTATAAATATTATATTTCATTACTGCCAATAGATCCTCTTAAATGTTACACACTGGACCTTAAAGTAATATGTAAATCAGTTGCTACCAAATATCTGTAGTGCTGTCCAATCAAAATAATTGATCAACTATTTCAACAGGAAGTCACTCTAGCATCACCTACTGTATAATAACCTCCATATAATAGTTTTAGGGAGTTTTAGGATCAACAATCCTAAATGTAGCTAAGACCTAAATATGCATACATGCAGAAACATGTATGTCAGAGGTGATAGTATTTATGTATTTTAGAGTGAGGTGAAAATATTCATTATGCAACCTAATGACCTTATTTGGCCATTTAATCTAATGTTATATGTCACAAAGGTTTGCAATTTATATAGTTTTATTTCTATGATATGTAACTTAAAATTTTCCCAGTTTACATCATTATTAACCAGCATGTGTCAGCTCAGGTGTCAATCATATTACTTATGTTGGTCTTCAGTCTAAATGGGTCAAATGTCAATAAGCTATTTTTGTTGCAGCAGTTACGCCTGAAAGTTCCCGTTGCAAAATATTTTGTAAATATTAAGCTGTAGGTAAAAAGTAGTTAGTGAAGTACATCCCATTTTAATTATGTGATACATTAATCCCCATGTAGTAAAAGTTTATGTTAAAACCAAGCTAAGTTTAAACTTAAGATCAGCTGGAGCAACCACCTCCTGGATACCAATCCTGTCCAAATAGTCCATTAGACTGAGCTTAACATTGCTTTTATGCCGATCTTCAGTCTCCAGGAGACATACGAAGCCAAGAGGAAGGAGTTCCTTGTGGATCTGCAGCGCAAAGAGGAAGAAATGAGGCAGATGTTTGTCAACAAAGTGAAGGAGACAGAAGCAGAGCTGAAAGAAAAGGAAAAAGAGGTAAGAATTGACATCCTCATCAGACAATGACTCATTGAAAATATACCATATTTTGTTTGTCTCTCATTGAGCCCCGCCCCAACTGCATCATCTCTAGCTTCATGAGAGGTTTGAGCAGCTCAAGCGGATGCACCAGGAAGAAAAGAAGAATCTGGAAGAGAAAAGACGAGAACTGGAGGAGGAGATGAATGCCTTCAATAGAAGAAAGGTTGCAGCTGAGACACTGATGGGACAGGCCCTCCAAGGCTGCTCGCAACCATTCAAGAAGGACAAGGACAAGAAGAAGTAAGTCTCTTTTCTGTATGTATTTGATTTGTGCTGCTGCTCAAGTGATTTCTTTTGTACCACATGGTTGCCGAAGCAAGCATTAATGCTGCTCAATAATAACACTAAAATCTCTCGAGCTATTCGAGGATTATTAGTCAAATGTCACACATACACTATATTCACCAGCCATGCCTGTGTATTCTCTAAGCCACTCTATGTGTATTTTATTGGACAGAGGGGAGAGGTGTACAATGTGATTAATGAGATAGTGTTATCTTCCCAGAAGCCATGTTGGCTCAGAAACTGATACAGGGACAGATTTGGACTGACACTGTGTCCCCAGACATAGTAGGAAGGGTCACAGCTTGCATGACACAGCCTGATGCTTACTTCTCTGCGGGCTGACCTGCCAGACTGTATCTCCGGCAGGGGCACTTATATTCACATTCGACTGCTCACGTGGATGATTCTCAGGCGTCCCACAAAGAACCATAATCATTTCTGCAGGTGGAAACATTATATGTCAGGATCAGTTATGTATGCTCAAAACGTACACAGTTTGACACTCAAGATTAGCCTTGAAAATCCACAATCACAAAGATGTCTCTGTGATTAGTGAACTAGAAACAAATGTGATTAAATGAAAGCCTAGTTCCTTCAAAAATGTTCTCTATTAATGGTAGCTTGTACTGGCTTTAAAGCCATAACATGTTAAGATTACCAAAGGTATTAAGCCAGTATATTGCCACACAGGGATGAAGATGTTACTTGGTTTTTACTGCATGTTTTACTTCTGAAATACTGTTGCTGGTGATTTTTCTAGCTGTATTAGAAAAAGCAGGAAATACATTATTACATATCTAAAAATTAAAGAATAGCTACATACAGTAAATAATTTGCTTAAAGGGAATATAGGTTCAAATCTGAGCAAGTTAAACATTAAAGGCAAAGTTGAGTTGTTCTACAAATTGAAAGTGACAGACTGGATTCATTTATCTCCACAAATGGAGAATCTCTGTACTGGTCTGTCTCACCAGGCAGCATTAGTGTCAGTAGATTGCTGTATTCAATTATTATTGGTGGTACAGTCTTGGTTGGTTAGCTGTGCTTCAGACATGGTGTCAGTGTCATGTGTCTTGTTGGATATGAACTTAAAGACAGTTTAAACCCTTGGTTTAAGTGATGGGATTGGGAAATATCTCTATAAATTCAGTTTTAATGTGATTTCAGTTTACCTAGAATGTGGCCTAAATCTGATTTGGACAAACTCAGATTTAAATGTTAAAATGTCAAAAACCAGGAGTTGTTAGTGGATGTTAGAACCCAATCACTGTTGCATTCCCATTTCATTCATTTATTCATTTGATTTTTACCGTACCTCAAATCCGTCATTTTTTATTTTTTTTTCCATATTTTGTCTTATTTCTTTTCCCCTTTCAGTTGATTTATGGATCAAACATCCAGGGAAACCAGGAATGTGTCTGCCATCAGCATGGGAAAAAGAGACTGTCATATCTGACATTACTTCCTGACACTGTATGTGTGGACATAGTGTCACAGTAACAATGCACGTATGTGAGCCTGAATAATGTGATGGCTATGAGCCACTGTGTACTTACGGATCAAAAAGGTAGCTTTGCTCAGTTTATTTAATTTGTCCCTAATGCTGACTCTGCTAGACACACAATCCGTGGACTGTTTTCATAACATGTAGCTTGTGTTGTTTTATGTTCTTGCCATGAATGTGTGTTCATCTCCTGTTGTGAATTAAAGTCTCTGTTTCTCAGTTAGAAAACTTAATGAAAACAGAACGAGAGTTTCAGTTACTAACTAAATTGAACTGATGGTTGTGAGTTATATTATGTCATTAACATTTGCATTAGCATTTGTGTATTTATACATGCAGTTATTTACAAGTTGGATGGTCTCCAGTAGGGTGTTTTATGTCTAATGTGAATAATGCTAATTGTTTTTTTAATTGTTGATAGTTTGAAGATTATTTAATTGTCTAACACCATTATATGCAAAATAATTACATTTATTTACAGTGAGTCTAAGTCATTTATATTCAAATAAATAAAGACAATGGAAACCAGAACATGGCATCAGTTCATCTGTTGGTCAGCTGAACCCATTCAGTTCTCTGAATTCCCTTCACATCAGCCATTTCTATGATTCAAAGCATTTCGAACCTGTTGACTCCATGACACCAAACCATGGTTTTGATTGGTTAACAGTTGTTATCAGTGTTTCTATATAAGCATTAATTCAAGTTTCAGTTTTGTTTTTGCCTTCAGTCAGTGGCAGCAAACATGACAAATAACAAAATGCTTATTATCCTTTGCACTGAATGTTAGTATATGTAGAGTTGCTTGTTCAGATAATCATGACATGTTTTTTCTTTCCTTTTCGTAGCTTCTTTAGTCTTCCGTCTGCGTGCTCCTTAACCTCAGGAAGGAATTTGAATTAGAAGACTTTCTACCACGTCAAAAGATCACAGACTAACAATCAAGTATATTATTTTTACAATGTGAATTTTATAGAAATGCACTTAACATCCCTCTAAGTGAGTCAGCTTGAAGTCTTCCATGTCTACTAAACTCTCCTTTAAGCTTTTAAGCAGCGCTCTGTAGCATGGTTTCTGCATGGCTCCTAACCTTCATTCCTAAAAGTATTAAAAACCTTTATAGCCAAAATCTCCGTTTGTACTAAATGTGCTACCGTCTTTTATCTGCCTTGTTATGCTTGTAGTTTTTGACTGATGACAATTTACACTGTGAAATATATATTATAAAGTGACATGATATTGCTGTTAAGTGTTATGTGGATTGTACATTATGTTATGATTTAAAAGCACTTTAAAATGCAGTCTGACATGCAGTTTAAAATGTAGTCAAAGTAGAAATACTATATTTAATCATTGTAAGAGGTCCCCTATCATACTAACATGTCAGCCCATATGTTGTGTCAAAAAAGACCTAGTTAGTAAGTATTTCATAGTTTTAAAATTTCAAAAACTATACTGTTAATACATGGAAAAAGCCTGGATGTATATAAATTCAGGATTAAATCTCTTAATGTTAGTCGATCTATGGTGGGTTTGTCTGGACCAGATTTGCAGATTTGTATATCCTGATGTATTAAAGAGTTACTTTATTGAAAACACGCCTTGTTCTCTTTATAATTGCACTTGTAAACAGAAAGTCAGACAGACAGATTGTGGTATTTCTATGGTCTCAGCAGGTTCAGGTTCCTTCCAGACTGTTCCAGAAACCTGCCAGCAGGCGTCCATTTACAAAGAAGAGGAGACTGCATAGTGTGATCATGTCTGGCCTATGAAAACAATCGGTATATTACATTTTAAGAAATCCTGCACAGTTTTACAGAAAATTACTAAAAATGTTGCTGTGTTCGACCCCCTACCTTAATGTTGAACACCTTTTATTGGCCTCTATTTTATTGAACGCAAAAATAGTTAATAAACATAACAAATTAGTAGATAACGTATATATTGTGCCGCTTTACTTTTGAAAGTAAACATTATTGTAGTGTGAAAGCTTTATATCATTTTATTGCCAATATAATATGAGAACAGACAAACTGGGTTGCAAGTCTCTGCCATGTCCCGCCTCCTCAACTGCGATTGGCTCTCCAGCATCTAAAGGGCGGGCCTTAATCGTGAATGACGGGACCGTTATCCAATTACAATATAGAACCAGGAGCGTCATCCGGTGGTGACCAATGAAAGCTCACCATGTTTGGGCATGGGCTCGGTTTTATGCCCGCATTAAAACCTAAACTGCCCTTTTCCCCATCGCCTTACACCAAGGGTAGGGGGGTGTGCATAGGCAGAAATTAACCTGGGCTTAAAACTTTCTTTAGTGAAAGTTCATACTATATTCTTTGTGTTTTAAACCTCTTTTCACTCGCTTATTTCAAGCGTGTGTTCAACTGCTCATTTTTCCCACAATATTAAAGGCAGCGTAACTTGAGCTAAGGTAAGTCAACCAAATCTGCTGTCTTGTGTCATGTTAATTAACCACAATGTGTGACTTTAAAGTGGTATTTGTGGGTTTAGAAACCCTTAAAGTACGCGGTTATGTGGCTGTCTGTAGCTTTAAATGAGCCGAACTAACGAGGCTTTGAAAATGGATGTAACGCTGCGTTAGCATTAGCATTGTAGCTAACGGTAACGTCGTTAACGTCAGATTAGTGGGTTTATTTCCCCTCTTTTACCTCCACGAATCACGACGTTGCATCGATTTAATGCCCACAGTGTTGTGTCGTATGGTTTTAGACACAGTTCTGTGGATTAAGCGGTGTTATATCACTTGGGTTTGTTGTTGTCATTAGGCTCTTCGCTTGCTCTCCATTGGTGTGTATGGCAGGGACATGTCCCGACACGACGCTGGTCTGACCCTGGCTGCCTTCACACAGGGCCTGGTTCTCTTCATATAAGCCTAATGTTGAGTCCAGATTGGTCAAAAAAGCCTCTAAAACAAGAGTGAATCATGTATTTTAAGTCTCGTATTAATCCAAGTGTGATAAAGTACTCTTACAAATTGTTAGAAACTTAGTTTGACATGTCCCTGTTATGTAAAGTTGCTCCCTGTCTAGTTCCAGTTGAGTCCAGTTCAGTGACAGGTGTTAGGGGAAGGCTTGTTACTTGATAACTTACAAATTTGGAAACACTCACATGTCTGACTGAAATACCCCTGAGCAATGCATATCCCAGATCCAGATCAATTCTTGTTAGTAAACTACATTTTATATTCTGAACAGAATCTGAATCTTAATATTTTGTACCTGTGTCTGGTCTTAGTTAACACATGCAAATTTGTAACTTATTTGACTGTTATAGCCGAGTGAAGTGGTTAACCCTGTTTGGACATTATAGCCATATTATTAGTGCCTATCACAACGTCTTATTTAATTATCTATAGGCATGTGTATTCAACGATTAACTGACGGATCAATTCAGATCTAATATATGTAAACTATTTCATATATTTTTATGTCATAAACGCAGTATTCAGACTATGAATCAAAAATATTGTGTTGATTTAGTGAGTATTATTGATAATCAGCTCCACTTCCCCTATCTGCACAGATGATTGACACAGCGACAGGACCTGTAGCACAGCCCTTTGCTGTTCAGCTTAAGGCCATGACGGATATGGAGGGCCGATACCAACCAAAGCTGAGTGGCTTGAGGCTCATCGAGAGCTCCCAGGACAATGGGCTCAGGATGACCGCCAGACTCAGGGAGCTGGAGGTGAAGGACCTGCTCTCTCTGACCAGGTTCTTTGGTTTCAGCTCAGACACCTTCTCACTGGCCATCAGCTTGCTAGATCGATTCCTCTCTGTAATGAAGGTTAGTAATACACGAATATCTAAAAAGAAAGTTGATCTTGTTAGCTGTCTTAGTAACAGTTCTTTTATAATCTAATATCCATTGCTTGTTCTTCACAGATTCAACCAAAGCACCTGTCCTGTGTGGGCCTGTGCTGCTTCTACATAGCTGTGAAGTCCTCCGAAGAGGAGAAGAATGTGCCTCTGGCCAACGACCTGATCCGCATCAGTCAGAATCGCTTCACCGTGTCTGACATGATGAGGATGGAGAAGATAATCATGGAGAAGCTCTACTGGAAGGTGAAGGCCCCCACAGCCCTCCGCTTCCTCCGCCTCTTTCACAACCACATCCAGGAGCAGCTCGACGCTGAGAGGTAAGGACAGACGGTCACATCAACCTGCAGGGCTGAACCATGACTCAACAAGATTATATTTACTCCACTAAAATGTGTCTTCTCATATTTGGTTTAAAGACAATACTAGCCAAAAATATTTTAAAGGCCAACAGGCACAACCTTTGCTTGAAATGTAGATTTTTAGACATGTGATATGTTAGAAAATCCTCAGTTCTAAACATTACCAGTGTTATGATGTTGGACTTAAAATATAATAATGAACTGTCAATTTTTGTGACTAAATCTTGACACTAATAGCATTTTCTTTTTTACAGCAAGAAGATCCTGAGCCTTGAGAGACTGGAGGCTCAGCTAAAAGCCTGTCACTGCTCATTTGTCTTCTCCAAAATAAAGGTAGGCCAAAATAACTGGACTGTCAACATTTTAAAAGATGGCCTATTTCCAGTTGGAATTAGACAAATTCACAATGTCAAAGTGGAATCCAGCAGTTCCACTTTGCTTAACGTTCAATTGACAAATAGCCTTCCTGTTGCATAGTAATCATTTGTAGTGTCAGTCCAGGTAAAAAGTAGGCCATCTGTGTTGAGCATATTCATTTTTAAATGGTTTCTCTTAGTTTATATGACTTTTTGAAAAACATATTTACTATTTATTTTGTAAATTAAGAATCTTTAACTTGTTTCTCCGCAGCCATCTTTGCTTGCCATGGCTCTCCTGTGTTATGAGGCCCAAGAACAACATGACCCCGAGTACCCTGACAAAATACCAGAGGCCCTGAAAAGTCTGCAACAGCAGCTGAATGTAAGTTTAACAATCTTAAATGTGTGTTCTTAACTGAAAATCTCAGTAGTAATATTGTTTCTTTCAAGTAGTTTGTGTAGCTTTTCTTGGTTAGAGCCCAAAGATTGCTTAAAGGTGCAGTGTGTAAAACATTTAGAGAAGTGTTGTTTTACCTCATTACCTTTTTTAGAATGAGACATTTTTATGAGGGAGAGGATCCTCTTCTACATAGTCTGGCATGTTTCTACAGTAGGTCAGAACAGACAAACCAAACACTGGCTCTAGATTTGGCCTGTTGTATGTTTTGCAGCCACTGTGCTTTTCTCTGACACGCTTCGGATGCGAGTGGTATTCAATTAGGTTGTAATCTGCAACTTCACTGCTAGATGCCACTGAATCCTACACACTGGTCCTAAAGTTGATGTGGAAATTGGTTACTGTTGAGACAACAGGAACAGACACTCCAGTGTGTTGCCTTAATTAAAATGTTCTTTTTCCCTCTGCATGTTGTTTCTTCCCTTCAGATCAGAGATGGGGACTTGGTTTGTGTGCGGGAGCTGGTTGGAAAATGCCTGGCTGAATATGCCACCACCAAGTGCTCCAGGCCCAACACCCAGCGGCTTCGCTGGACTATTTCGGGAAGAACTGCGCGTCAGCTGAAGCACAGCTACTACAAGATCACTCATCTTCCCACCATACCTGAGTCTGCTTATTAAACCTGGAGGTACAAATGGGTGACCTTACATGCAGAGAGAAATGCCAACTGTTCCCAAAGCTGTCTTCTCTGATTGGATTTGAGTGATTTGTAGTATGGTCACCCACATGCAGCTCCAGTTATTTTCCTTACAGATCTTCATCTGTGATGATGGATTTCTTTAAGGAAAAGCACAAAATGTAACAGTTTTCCTCAAGTTAGTTTGTTGTCATTCATTGATCGAGCATGCTACATTTTATCTGCCCCAAACGGCGAGTAATGCTTTGTGAGAACGGTTTATCTGCTACCATCCTGCTAAGTTTTACTTTTCTGGTTGAGTTGCTTGCACAAGTGTACAGTATGTTCTTGTTTAAATCCGTACCACGGTGTTTGGAATTTCCTGGAACGGGTTGCTGGTTTTAAGCTAATAAGTATGGAACCACCTAGGTCCTCAGTCCACCATGTGGAAGAGGAGGGAGAAGGATTTTGTGAACAGCAAAAATGGAACCAAGAAATCGGGCCCAAAATCCTTAACTCCCACCCTAGGTTGCTAAGCTGTCCTAAATGCACACTCCTACCCAAGGTGATTTTTTTATTTTATTTTGATATGGCGAAGGAGCTCCGGTTGTGTCCGGCGAAACGAGGCAAGTGACGATCCTGTCATTGTATGGCTAACCATACTGTTATGAGCTGAGAGGTCCTCAGCGGTTACCGATGAGTTGTTGTCACAGATTTGTGATTTAAGTACACAGAGTGAGGCACCACACGTAGTAATTGATTTCATTTGTCAATTATGCAGAGAACACTAAAAAAAATGAGGTCATTGCAGTGGAAATGTGGATTTGAATTTGTATTGCATTTTCTTTGCCAGTTTCCCTGTCTAGTTTGTTTCTTTTAGTGACAAATAAAATGTGTTCTCAAATTCAAACTGGCTAATTGAATACACCATCTGGTTAACCTATACACTTGTACCTTTCAATAAAACTTTATTGAAAAGCTATTGCTGCATTCCTGTCATTATTAAAAGACAACACATCTCACAGGCTTCTTAAAACCAGACAGAACAGTTACCATCAACTGTTCTGCTTGTACAATGAGCCTGGCAACTTTCCAAATAAGTCCTTCACACCAAAGGGAAGTCGGACCAAAGAGCTGCTGTGAAAAGTCTTTGTTGAATAATAAAGTCAACAAGTATTTGAGTTGTTCTGAAGGCAAATATTTTTGACTTCTCGTCACAGGAGATCTGGTGAAGCCACAGTTCCCGTGCATGTCATGGATGTCCTCAGTAGTGTTCATTAGGCAGAGGTGACATCTCAAGCACGCAGCAGGTTTTTTGACATCATGGCATGGGTCACTTCTGTAAACTGGAAAAGTCCGGACCACCACCAGCAAAATTCCCAGAGATCTCTGCACCACTGAAGTCAAATCCAGGATTCTAGCAGACAGGAAGCACAATTCATTAATTTACAGGAACCCTGTTGCCACTTATCAAGACTAACATACATTTGCTCTAAGGATGAATTCAAACCTGATTTCTCTCACCATCTTCAGAAGTAGTGTAAGAAGCATTATCAAAGTGGAAATGGACAAATGACAAATTCACATCTGTTGTTGCTTCACTTGTCTTAAAACAAACCACAAGTAATTTTTTTAAATAACCAGTACCACTTTCTGACAAGACACTCTATTGGGGGGTTTATAAGCTATAAATAATGGCTTTATTAATTGAAAATAAACCATTTACTAATGCTTTATAGAAAAGTTATTAAGAACAATTTCTTGACAATTAGTGAAACATTTCTTTTGACTGTTATGACTGACTGTTTCTGGAAATGGGCTGAAGGCTTTTAAAAGTGAGGCGAAACCCATGAGCATTTATGACTCATGACTTGCATTATTACCAAACAGAAACCAGCCAAAGAGATTATTCACAACCTGGCAACCCAACATGTGTTATTGTTCGTGGGTTATAGCTGATCGATAAAGCATGAGTAAATTATTTATAAACCAATCATTAAGCCATTACTTACATCTTATGAGCCCTTTAGTAGAAGACCTGTGTATAGGAATATATAGGCATCTGATATTACTTGGCAACAAACGCTATAGATTAATCAAACTAACTTCTCGCTGGAACCTCTCCAGAGTGAGCTTTCTTTGCATCTGGTCCTGGACCCAGGCATTGGCACAGTACTCCCCCTCCAGCAGGGAGGACCAGCAGTTCCCTGCCTCTCTGTTGGTCTTCATCAGAATGATCCGGATGAGACACTTGTCCTCTGAGCCAAAGAAAGAGGAAAACCGGAGTGAGGTAAGGATGGCTTTTGTACACTGAAAGTCTAAAGTTAAACCTGAGAATGTTACTTAGGAGGTATGCAGCCTACCGAGTGTCCACGTAGCCTCGTCAGACACCGTTGTGTCAAACAACTTTCCCTGAGAGAATGTAAGAGAAAGAGATTGTGAGGTTAACGTGTTCAGCAGTCAAAATAGTCTGGTACAGGTCGCAGGACAAGAGAGGGATCACTACCTGAACTCAAGTGTGAGCATTTTCTTTCTTTTATTTTAATCTTCTGTGAATTAGGGTTTTATAAAAAGTAAAAGGGAGATGGTCTCTACTTTGGTAGAGGGTCAAGGAGACAGAGGAGGCATTTATTCCAGATTTTGCAGATGAAAAGAAATTTAAATCAGTTGACATTGTCCAATAGACCTTTTTCACTTATCAAATACGTTTTTCTCTACCAGATTTAGTTTGTGGGTCATTTTTGGCCCATTAAAACGCCCTCCATTGATCATTTGCAGACAAAAACTGAAGACATACATGTTTTCTATCGCTTTTGGGTGTTCTTAATGGGTTTTAATCTTTTTATTTTATTATTTTATATTGTTCTATAGTCTTGTTCTGTCTCTGTTTTTTCCATGTGTGCACACATTTGCCTTATATTTTATACATGTATCTTTTATTGATATGTTAAGTGACTTTTTTGCAGCACTTAAGTTAACTTTGATCAACTCTGGTTGTTTTAAATGTGCTGTATCAATAAACCTGATTTACTTTAACACAGACCAAACAAGAGGCAGATAAAACAGACACAGGCCTATTTATTGACCCTGCTTTCTCTCCCTCTCTCTCTCTCTCTCTCTCTTGGTTAAAATTAAGATGACTTACCTTGAATATTTCCTCCCCTTTCACATGCAGCTCGATGTCTCTGGATCCTAAATGACACTTGACCTCTTTCGCAGACGTCCCGTGAGGCACACTGACTTCGATGAAGACATCCTCCATGGTCTGGTACCAGGAGCCCCACGGTGTCTTGCAGGGGACGACCCCGCTCTTCTCCTCGAAGTGCACCGACATGCTGCGGCTTCTTCACCGGCTGACAGGTCGGCTAACGTCGGCTAACTTCACTGAACACTGAACACTGCAGTTATATCGGGAGCTAGCACAGAAGAACTCATTTACAGGACGGTTGTTGTTAATATCTCAAGTTACATTTGTTTCAGTGATTGTTGGTTTTTGTTTATATCTCTCGCCATGTTTCTTTTCTTTTCTTTTTCTTTTTGTTTTTTTTTTGCCCCTCACTCACTCTCTCGAAACTTCTTCTTCTTCTTCTCCTAAATGGGCCTCACTTCCGGTTGTGGACAACATTGTGGCTGCAGTGCCACCTGCTGTCTGATTGAGGGAACTGCAACAAGAGAAAACATTGGTCTTATAAGATATATATATATATATATCATACTTTTATTACCATTGCTGTAGTGTAAATCGGTGAGTTTAATTGTTTCTAATTTTAACTGTTTTATTTTTTACTTTGGCTTTAAAGGAAACCAAGAGAATCCACTGTTTGTCTAAAAATGGAGTGGCTTTACTAATCTGTTAATTAGATTACTGTTCTTGCCTTAGTGCCGCTTGTGTCCTTATGCATACCTACAAGTCACTTTAACGACACCAGTTGTGTCTAGCTCTATATTTCTTTTTTACTCCCCATGTACACTATTTTATTAAGTATGAGTTGCTCAGAGAGTTAACTACAAATTTGGTGATAAATGCTGCCCAGGATGGCCGTTTTGACATTAGCTTTAGTTAGTTTTATCTGCTGGATAAGGTAAGTTGTTCCTCTCTGCTTGAACATGGCTCAGAATACAGCGAGCCTGGGAATTTAACCTTTTTGTTTCTCTGCAGTCTTGGTAATGTAAGTGGAAATGAGAAGATTAACTCAGACAACATCACTCGCATTTTGGATCGACTTTTGGATGGTTATGACAACAGACTGCGACCTGGATCTGGAGGTAATTCAACTTTAAATCCTATAGGCTTGTCTCTAAAGGATAAAGAAAAGAAAAAAAATCTAAACTAAAGATATATTGAGTCTTTGTGTGCATTACTTGGCAGGTGGTGTCACAGAGGTGAAAACAGACATCTTTGTCACCAGCTTTGGACCCGTTTCAGATGTTGAGATGGTAAGATATTGCTGCTGTAAGGAGATGTATGTGTGCTGACTGTGGAGGATAACAGCCCTCCGGTGACCACAGAATGCCTGCCTTATGGGCAATCTGCCATGAGACCATCTAATGAGCTTTAATCTGTTTGACCAGCCCTATAACTCTATTATTGATGGCCTCTAAATCAATATGACAACATGTCAGACAGAGGGAATGGCTGAATGGATTGATTAATGATTATCTGGGATGAGTGGCATCCATCATTGCCTCGTCATCTCTCCTCACCTTCCACTGCAAGTTGTCTCTCCACTATTATGCACGCTGATGAATATCAGGGACTGCTTGTTTGATGAGTACAAAATACTGTAAATTAAAGCTAAAATGTAATATAATATGCTTTATAAAGTTTTACATCCACTAACGTGTTATGTTTGTGCATCAGGAGTTCACCATGGACATGTTCTTCCGTCAGATGTGGGTTGATGAGCGGCTAAAATTCGAGGGCCCCACTGAAATCCTGCGACTGAACAACCGCATGGTGGACAAGATCTGGACGCCAGACACTTTCTTCCGAAACTCCAAGAAGTCCATTTCTCATAACACAACATCGCCTAACAAACTCTTCCGTATCATGCAGAACGGGACTGTCCTCTACACCATGAGGTGATCTTATATTATGCAGTTATTGTTTTATTGATGAGATGGTTTGTGGTCACTACAGGAAGAGATAACCTCTGGCTTGTTTCTGTGTGTTAGACTGACAATCAGCGCAGAGTGTCCAATGAGGCTGATGGACTTCCCCATGGACGGCCATGCCTGTCCCCTCAGGTTTGGAAGCTGTAAGTGTAACAGATGTGTTCATAAACAGAAATAATAATATTTGTCCAGATTCATGACTGTGTTTATTTCAGGCTTTTCCTAATTGCCTTTGGATTTTTAGATGCTTACACAAGCAGTGAAATCATGTTCACTTGGAGGAAGGGGCCAATAGCATCTGTCGAGTGTCCCACAGAGTCCATGAGTCTTCTGCAGTATGATCTGGTGGGACAGACGTTGTCCACTGAGCTATTCAAATCCAACACAGGTAAAGCACTGTCAGCTATCGCATTGTTCTTCTCATGAGGACACTGTTACAGTCCACACTCAAAAGTTTAATTACAAAATATAACTCTCATGAGCTGGTGATTCTGAGAGCAGAAAGAGGTCAAACGAGTCTCTTCAAACTCCACACTAGTGTCCATTGCTCCCCCACAGTAGAGTTGATATAAAAGCAAAGACTTCCTTGAGCAGCCATCTACTGTAAGATGCTTAAGTGGTCAGGCCTAATGTGTATGGTGTGCCTTAAAAAAGAACTATGGGGTTTAAAGCCCAGTGAATGCACTGACAGAGCAGAGGAAGGATGGAGTAGTGTGTGTGTGTGTGTGTGCATTTTCTCTTTTCCCCAGAAGGAGAAGTGCTCCCCTGCTGTGAACCCAACAGATTCCTGGAATAGAGGAAAAGGATGAGGCAGCCTCCAAAACGTAGAGTTGATACCCATTTATAAAACCGAGCGAGAGAGAGAGAGAACCTCTGTATGTGTGTCCATGATGCAGCATGTTTTTTTGGGTCTGTGAATGTCTGTATGCATGTGTTTAGACGGAGCAGGGCAGTGTTACACATAGTGACACGGCGTGCTCTCCCCCTGCCCCCTCCTCACTGGCTCCTTCCTCTTGACTTTATCCCATTTCTAAATGTCTGCTGTGCTCCCTCCTCCTTGCCTCCTTTTTTTTGTCCTTCCTCTCTTCCTTCCTCTTTTCTCTCTCATGCCGCCTTACAGTTAGCAGGCTATTCCAGTCCTAACAGCAGCAATATATCTATATGTTTCTCTCAGCAGCTATTCCGTTTCAAGGGCAGGCAAGGGCATACCTTCTGTGCTTCCCTGCTCTGTCCCTCGGGGTTGCTCTCTCTTCACACGTGCTGTTTATCTTGCAGGTCACTACTCTGTGAAGGTGGTCCATTTCCACCTCCAGAGGAAGCTGGGCTACTATCTCATTCAGACTTACATCCCTCTAATCATGGTTGTTGTGCTGTCACAAGTCTCTTTTTGGATCAACAAAGAGTCTGTTCCTGCACGCACAGTTGCTGGTACGCCCCCTTTTCCCACCAATTAATGTGTACTAATCATTTTTGACATTATAATACATCTCCATGTCAATATTCTCCATGTACAGTAATGCTTATCTCCCTCCAGGCATCACCACAGTGCTGACCATGACCACCTTGAGCATCAGTGCCCGAGAGTCACTTCCCAAAGTAGCGTATGCCACCGCCATGGATTGGTTCATCGCTGTGTGTTTTGCCTTTGTGGCGTCGGCTCTAGTTGAGTTTGCAGCAGTAAACTACTTCGCCACCCTCCAGGCCAACCGTCTGAAGGAACAGAAAGCTAGACAAGACAAGCTTGAGGTTTTGGCTACCGGCAGCGAGGATGGAGACACAATTTCGGTGAGCGGCTGGCTTTATGTTGATTATGTGGGATACAAACAAGCTGAACTTCACTGTCATCATTAACACATGACGATCATTTTATTGAGTGCAACAGATGTCCCAGACTTTTCTTTGCCAATTTTATATCAGAGTAACAAGTAAAAGAGTTTTTATTGGTTAACATACAAACTATTGTTCTCTTTTTTCCTGTTTCAGTTCATATATTAAACATAAAACAATGTAGAACTGCAGAAAAGTGGTATATTAGGATTTTAAAGAGCCTGAAAAGATTGTTTTAAATCTTTAGCATGTCTCTATAACATTAAATATTCATAACTAAATAAGCATAATTAAAGTGACAGTTTAGAAAACAACTTCCTAGGTTACTATTTATTAGGAGTTGAAAATCTCAGCTGATGTCCTGATTCAGACTATGTGGGTGTAGTGGCCCCTCCTAGTTCGAAACCTAGTATACGATAGGCCGTGTATGATAATTGGTAGTGTTTTTAATGGGAATTCCTGGATACTAAATGCTTATCTCCAATTTTCTTTAGTGCTCCCAGTAATATTTGTTCTTAAGGTGAAATATTAGATCGCATGACATGGTTAGGCTGTATGTAGTTGCAAGAACAATTATTTCCACTCATCCTGTTTGACTTGAAAGAGAACGTATTATAATTGCTCTAATTATCTTTTAACTCTCCCTGGTCTGTCATTCATACTATTTCAGGGAAGTCTCTTGTTTTTCTTTTCTTGAAACTATTCCCAGCAGCCTTATCTTAGCACAGCATAGCTAGCTACTTCCCTCCTGTTTCCAGTCTTAATGCTGAGTTAATATAACTGGCTGCTAACTCTAGCAACATAATATCTTATTGTCTAATGCTTAAAAAGAAAACAATGGAAATGCAAATAGAAAAAATAGCCAAAATATTAGATATTGGTTTTAATGTGACCTGATTGTCTGCAGTGATAGGAAGCTACAGAAGTCAGTGATCAGACCAATAACACAATTGGTTCCTGGTTATAAACAGGGAACATCTTTACTGCCAGATTGGAGATTTGAGACCTGATTATAGGATAGAAAAAGGTTTCGCTCCTACACTTGGCATGAAAGCAACCTGCTCAGCAGCATCAGCTCATGCTATCACTTGAAGAAGGGGTGTGATTTGAATCCCGTGGCATCTCAAATACATTTACATAGCTAATAATGGTGATGGTACAGACTCTCCTCACTACCGCAGAGAGTTTGATGCAGTGATGTTGATAATGAACAGGAAGTCAGCAGCTCCAGACTCAGATGTAGAGAAGAAAAAAAATATCATGCCACAGATAGGAGGTCTTTTTCTATGCATTTCCAAGTAGTCACCCTGCCTCTTCCATTCTTCCCATTCAGAGCACACCACACATTAAATAGTAATTCGTGCTGTTGTAGTGCTCTCATCTCTAGCTATATGCTTTATGCTAATACAGTAAGCCACCACAGCGTCCTCCTGGGATCTGTCTCACGTGTAGGGCTCATGGTTAGATGCTTTAAAAATAGCCTCAGTGTGAGAACAGAGAACAACTCCAGCTCTCCTCCCTGCATAATCTCCTAACCATCCTATGGGCATCCAGCAAACTACCTGCTGCATTCTATAGGGATGTTGGCATGCCTTTGAGAGAAAGCTCCTGTGGGAACTAACAATACTTCCAGCTTCATATACATGACTTTAGCATGTTAAATCCACCATATACGTTCTTGCTGGCTATAAATACCCAGTTCTTTTCCTTTTTCCCTCACTGGGCAGAAAACTGACAATAACCCACACTAACCCGATCTCACCTCTTCCTGCTTTTCCTCCAAATCAACCCCGCCCCCCTCCCACCAGTCGGACAGCAGCCCTCAGGAAAGCCTGAAGAGGAGAAACCACTCAGTGTGTCGCAGTGAGCCAGGAGATGCTCCACCGGTGCCGATTTTCCTCCAGCAGGGCTCAGCTTTTCCCCAAATCCCTCAGCTGGCCGGCACCAGCCCCATCGACGCCTACGCCCGTATCCTCTTCCCCCTGGCCTTCGCCCTTTTCAATTTAGTCTACTGGTACATCTACCTGGCCAAGGACAGCATGGAGAGTGCCAGGTACACTAATCACATTCAGTTATCTTGTTATATTTATTTATATATTAGGCTTTTTCCTCCATGCCATAGAGCTCCAGAAACTGGGTGACATATTATGATTAACCTGGACACTGTAGTTTATTTTGAGTCCATACCACATACTGTCCTGGTGCCATAAATACTCATTTATTTTATAATATTCATTTATTTATGAATACTGTGTATTCATCTGAAACTGAAAATATAGTCCCCAAACATATTGTTCAGTTCCTCAAGGATTTCACTGGCTCTTTTGGGGAATTGTTGTGGCCTAAAATGCAATGTTTTTAGGCATTTTGTGAAAGTGAAGAAATGCAAAAATAGTTGCCCTTTTTTTTTAAATAATTCATTAAAGATGTATGGCAACTTGTTCAGGTTAACAGTGCACTGTTTGGGCAGGGTAAGTGTGATGATAAATGGCTCAGTGTTTTTCACAGGAAACTACAATGTTTGGTCAGATTTGTAGAAAGTTTGCAGTGATTGGATAAAATTTCAGTATTTTGGGAGATTGGCTGAATTTGCATTAATTGTTGTGATTGCAACATTGCAACTTCCTGGTAGCACTGATTGTTGCTTTTGGCTGTTTTACCGGATTTTTGACGATAGCAAAAATATAGAATATCATCACCTTTATCCTTTAATTGTTATTCCACTGTAGGTAATGGAGATTGACACCAGCAATATCTATCTGCAACTTTATATAACAGGTTTAATATGTTAACCAGTTGTGAGAAAGATGATCTCTTCTCACACTGTTTCATCTGAATGAGAGAGAGGGAGATGGTTTGATACTTTTCATTTTATGTACCAGAAAAGTCTTTTTTTATTTTTGCAAACAAAGATTTATCTGTCCCTGAGCACACACACCACTAGTGTTTCCATGATTACGTCCAAGGAAGCTTCCCTTTTGGAGTTTCACCTTTAACCTTTTGAGTCTTGCGTGACAAAGCAGTGGATCCAAAAAAGCCTTACGTGCAAAATAGTAAAAATTGAGACATACTTGGAGGTTGTCCAGCATTCTTTTACAAATGAGGTAAAAAGGATAAAAAAGATCAGACAATGGATGGAGGATATTTATGCATGCTTACTTTGTATCGCAAAGAGCCACAAACCTGTCTCACTCTGCTCTAATTATGATAGCTTCAGTGGAACAATAACTACCCACAGTTTTTTGTCAAAGACTTTTATCTAGGCAGTAAAGACATCAATAATTTCTAATGCTGAAACAGCCCCGGGAGTTGTAAGCGAAAAAAAGAAAAAAAAGAAGAAGAAGAGGAGAATGATGTTAGGTGGCGTTGTTGCTGCACTGACGCCAGCACTGTGGCTTTTATCATCATCATCATAGATTTACAATACATAAAGGGCTGGGCGCTCAGTTAATTTGAGAAGAAAAAATATGAATCAAGCTCTTTTATATAAGGTTTACCTGAGGGGTGGCAAAACCCCAGCCGGTTTAATGACAACTCTGGTTCTCCGTGGGGAGCAGGCCTCACAGGCAAAATAAACCAGAGCTTACTTTGTACATTAAGCACATGAAAAAAGCGACTATTCACTTTCCCGCTTATAAGTGAGCCACTTATAGAACACAAAGCTCCATGTCCAAGAAAGAAAGAAAGAGATACAGTGCAAAAAGACAGAGAGAGAGAGAGAGAGAGAGAGAGAGAGAGAGAGAGAGAGAGAGAGAATGTGTGTTATGTAACACTGGGGAGTGTAAATCTGCTCATCATGCTTCTCATGTTCCTGTCAGAGAATTTTTATGGTTGCTTTGTTTATAACGTTCTGCAGAATAATGAGAGAGACAAGATGGAGAGCACGAGAACAGCTGCATCACATCTATTCCCTTTACATATTTCCGCCACGACTCTTGGCTTGGTACTTTTGAAGAAGGCACTGAGAGGACAGGGAAGCACAGTAACAGTTGAGGGCTGTGCAGTAGACTGCAGATACGGCGTCTCTGAATGTGGAAAGAGAGGTTTCTGTATGCTCCTCTCACATTTCTGTTTTCTGTTGTTGCAGGGACATACAACTTCAAAACTAAGAGGACCTGGGAAAGGGCACATGCAGTCGGAGAGACCTTCAGCATCCAACCAGCCTCACCTCACCCTCCTCTCTCTCTCTCTCTCTCTCTCTCTCTCTCTCTCTCTGTCTCTCTCTCTCTCTCTCTCTTTGTGTCTGTGTGTGTGTGTGTGTGTGTGTGAACAAGCTCTCAGCAGTCACTCTGCTCTCATCTGACAGAGGAAATGAATCAGAAACTCATTTATTCTCCTGCCGCACATCTATTCATTTCACAGGCTGTGACCACTGCCCACTTGTGTTCTGATCAGTAGCTGAAGAGCTGCCCTTCACGGGCCTCAATCACTTTAAAGCCTGCCGCGTACACACAACAACTTCTCAGGCCCCCGGACCGAGAGAGACTCCACACACACACACACACACACACACACATACAGTATGCATGACACTCAGACACACACACACACACACACACACACACACACACACACACACACACACACACACAAAACCAAGAAACACATCAAAAAGAAGTGGATGATATAATCTATGATGGCTGTAACTGGTGGTGATGCAACAGTGAACCAATGCTTTCAGAAGCCTGCCCTCTACAGAAACACAGCTCCCACTACAACAAGATCAAAGGCAATTTAGAGGAGGCTCGCATCCCTCCCCGCGGCTTCAAAAATGTACTCAAACCTGAGAAAATGAATTGTGGGATTGTGTTTTCCATCCCACCTTTCTGCTCTGGCGCTCTGGTGCTCCCTTTGCATTCTCAGATCCACTGCAGGTCCTCTGAAGACATTGCAGGGAAGAGTAGGATATAATACCCATGGGTGTTGATGACATTAATTTTCTATTTTCGTATGGATGGCGCATGATTGTTGGGCGCAGATGTTTGTATGTGAAGTGTCTGCTCGTATCGGATGGAGTGATGTTGTTTTTTTGTTTTTTTTTGTCCTGTAACATAAAAACTGAAGGAATAAACTTGATCTTAACTTGACATTTAGACCACTTTAACCCTGCAGAGCATCCCATTGTTTGACCTTGTCAGGGTATAGACAAACTTATCTTCCATGTAATAAACATAAAAATAAAACAAGCCTGAAATTAACGCCGTTGTTGTTCATTTCACTCCTGGCACAAACGCTTGTTTCTTCATTACGCACAACCACTTGTCCCTTTAATATTTTTCTCTGCAATGGAAACTGCTCATCCACCATCATCAGTCTCCACTCTTTGATCTTGGGCTGGCTGCACGCATGCGCCTCTCATTGGCTCCTCTGCACTGTCTGGAGTAAGTTGGATGTGCGCTCTCCTCACTCGCATCGCGAAAGCACCTCAAAAACTGTTGCGATGGGGAGGATCAGGAAAAACCACTTTGGGATTTTGACTTTTTCCTTACTAGTGACTTTCGTATGGGCTCAAAGGTAAATCCCGTTTGCATCTTTTTTTCGTCTTCTGTCTTGCATGTGATGTAGCCTCATGTTAAAGCGTGCCTTGGCGTGTGATATTAATAAGCTATTCTGCATTACACCACCTTTTTTTTCTTCCTCTTCTCTCTCCAGCGTCAAGGATCTCAAAGATCCGAGCAATATGCCTCTGGTAAAAGAAACAGTGGACAGACTGATGAAAGGATACGACATTCGGTTGAGGCCAGATTTCGGAGGTAACGAGCAAACTGAAAACGGAATGTCATGTTTTCACGCCCTCCTGACGTGCAATACATGTTTAATGAATCGCAAAATCTGCTTTAATTTACATAATCGTCCCTTCACAGCCAAATAGGCCTTTCCAATTAGGCTATGAGAAATGATGTGCATATTTCATTTGATGAGGAGATAAGACTTTGGCTTTTAACGTGATCGATCCCGCTTATCAATGTTTGATGATTTCCACTAAAAAAGATTAAATTAGCAGCATTTTTAAGCTCATCTCGGTGTTAAACATGATTTTTAATTTTTTTTCTCCCCCTTTGCTCGGGCTGATGATGCACGAGTCTCCTGTAGGTGGAGGGGAGCTCAGAGGAACCTGAGCGCGCGTCACGAATTTGTTAAATTTACATGATGAGAGAATTATTCATACATGTTGTATTAATGCCTCCTTTTCCTTCACAGGTGCGCCGGTGGCCGTGGGAATGAATATAGACATAGCCAGCATAGACATGGTCTCTGAAGTCAATATGGTAGGTGCATCTTCATGATTTTTACCTCCCCCCCACCCCCCTCTTGCTTAATGTTGCCAATTGTGCCAGCCAGGCACGGCTGGAATACCTCTGAAGTGGGCTACTTATCACGGGTCAGTGTGTGTGATTGTATGTATGGGTGAGCCGGGAGAATCTGAGCCAGGCTGAGGCATCTTGTGAATACATTTTACTCGGGTAGGGAGAAAAAAAAAATGAAAAAAAAATTGTGAAGGCTTCCGTTCCCAAACACATCATCGCCATCCTCCTCTCAGTCTCCGCATTTGCAGCTCTGGTGTGTTGCTGCATTTGAATTCAAAACACACACTCACTGGCGCACTCGGACGCACAGCCCCGGCTGCGCGCGCGGTGGGCTGCATGTGTGTGTATGTGTGTATGTGTGTGTGTGTGTGTGTGTGTGTGTGTGACTGCTTCACGTTGTCAAGCCTCGGTGGTGTAATTCTGTTGACACCCCCCCACCACCCCCTTCTCCTCTCCATGCAGTTACCTACAAAATAAAATAAAAACAAACCTCCTTCTTCTCCAAACTGGCATCATTTGGTGTTTTAATTCGGCGACCAATCACATCATCACCGTCTACGTAAACGGTCTCCCCCCCTGCTTGTCAGATGACGTAAGCAATTTGTTATTAATAAATGTCTGGTCACACAGCATTGCAATCAACAACAACAACAACATCAACAACAACAACAAAAAAAACCCATCTTGCTACACAAAGATTGAACGTCATGTGCGACTTGGAGAGGACAGGGGGAAAAGTTCAGTAGCCCATGCAAGAGCACCACCTATTGATCTGTGTGACAGACAGACAGACAGACAGAGAGACAGACAGACAGACAGACAGACAGACAGACAGACCGCATACCACCTGAAACTGAAACTACTCCATTGTAGCTTCACTGCATTAAATCTACTTTATTTATAGTGTGGAATAATTGGTTTTGCACGTATGGTGGCATGCATTGATGCATTCAGAAGTATATATATATATATATATATAGCCTTTTGCAGAGAATCCAGAGTGTGAGAAAAGAAAAAACAGATAATTTACAAAGCAGTCTCTCCATGGAGCAACATAATAGAGATGTTATATAAGAGCGTGAAAAACAAGTTTGCCAGTAGGAATGGAAGGAGATGTCTTTTCTATTATTAATTGTGCCATTTTCAAGTTGATGTCTAGTTAATTTTGCCTGTCAGGTTTTTGATTTTGCCAGCCTGTCAAATCTGTGTATGTGGTGGTCATTTTAAACTGCACTTGATGTGTTTTTTAGCTCATAAATACGAGAGCGTATGTAAGTTTGCTTTGGATGAGGAAAAGCACTGAATGGTCAGAGCTTTTCCTTTGATGGAAATGATTTATTTTGGTGGAGGATGCAGCCAGAACGGAAGTGCCTTGGGGGTCCGGGGAGATTTGAAATAGAAACCCCTCACTTGCTTTCGTCTCTCTCCCTCTCCTCTCTCTCTCTCACTCCTTTTTTCCTTTCACTCTTTCTCTCTCTTTCTCTCTCTCTCTCTCTCTCTCTCCCTCCTCCATCCTTCCCTCCCACCACTTCGACTGGATCCCTGGCTGTGACTCTGGGCTCAGCAGCCATGTAATCCACCTCTGCCTTGCTCCAAAGGGTTATCTTACTTAAGAACTAGGCATCTATGCAAGCATTCATCTGGAAAAAAACACTGCTTCATACATCCTTGTGTGTGTGTCTGTGTGTGTGTGTGTGTGTGTGTGTGTGTGTGTGTGTGTAACAAAACACAAAACTGTGCACAAACAGTGAATGGCGACTGACGTCATGCAACTCCCTGTGGCTATGAGAGAGCGTTCATCTCGTTCATTTCTCGGAAAAACTCTCCCTGCCAGATCTGCACAGGCTGACACGACAGACAAATTTAGACAAAAAGTTTTTTTTTTTTAAACCCAAAAACATCCCAGACCTCAGTGGACTTGTGTTCCACACGTTGTTGTTACCTTGTGAAAACCCCTTCCTGCGACTTACATAACAGGTCGGAATCTCCTCTTCCTCCTCCTTTCTCCACGTCCAGCTCTCTTTGATACAATAGAGGATGAGATTGATCTCAGAGAAATCAATAAAATCAACGTGCGGCGTGATCACGAGGATGGAGTCGGTGACCTGTGCTCCTTGCTGGGCTGCTTTGATCTTCCTCATCAGGGGCGGCCGCTTTTAAGATTAAAGTGCTGAGAGGGAAAACAACACGGAGAGGCGAGGATGAAACTGGCGAAGGCAGGGTGGGAGAGGGGTGAAGGTTACTGTGATCAGTTTCACCATCTCCTCTAATGATATTCTACATCCTTGGTGGAAGCCGAGGGAAAGTTACTGCAGACCCTGCGTTACCACAAGAGAGCTGGGGCCGCTGCTTCACTGACCCCTCAATATACAGTTTCCATTTTTTTCTATTTAAGAGGCTTTAAGGTTGGAAAAATCATTCCACACTGCTCCTCATTGAAGCTGGATGACTGTTCAAACTGAGAGGAAATATTCAAACACAAGATGGCTGCACAGTTTTATCAAATGCAATTGTTTGTGCATCATATTATATAAAATCTACAACTTTTTGCCTGAAATATTTGGTATCTTAGAAGACTTTGTGGTGTCTACAATCATTTAAAATAATCTGGATGTTTGAATGGTATTTGGCTGCACACCAGGAGTATGTAACGGCTGGCCCAGTAGTGCTTCAGTTTGAAGGATTAGAAACAAGGCTCTACGTGCAGCTAATTTGACTCTAAAGCTACAAGTAAGCTACCAATTACCAATTTCTTGATCAATTGTTTTGTTAGCAAAAAGTGAAAAATCTCCATGAGGAAGTTCCTAGAGCTCATGTTGATGTCTGTGTTGTCCAATTAACAGAACAAAACCTTAGATTTTTTAATTTAGTTTTTTTTTTTTGGTTGTTGCCATTTTTGTTTGAAAAAGTAAAATTAAAAAAAGGAAAGATTAATAGAATAAAGTGACTAAGTGCTGAGTCAGTTCCATTTGTAAGTCTAGGGAACCTGAAGGTGCTCTTGAGGATAAAAACAACTGGTCAGAAAAATAAAAATGTTCTTCACAGCAAGGAGAGAAATCTTCATTTAAATTGTTGACCGGCTTTGACCCACACAGAGTTTGGGTTGAAAATATCAACATAGATTCAGATTAACTTAAATTGTTTATAAACTGAACCTTTTGTATATGATCACACCAACCAAATCCACACCAGTTACCTTTCCTTCCAAATCAAGGCTGAATTTTGCACCTACAGTGTCTCAACCTGAAAGAAAATGGAGCAAGTGAGAGAATATGACTTGGATTTGAAATCAGTGTTTGTGAGCAGGCCTGCCATCATGGCGGTGAGCAGGTTTTGGGTTGTAGACAGCTGCTCACTCCTCTAATTAAAGATAAAAATGCCTCTGGTGGAGAATGAACTCTGCATTTTGGTCGGGGCTGATTGAAGCCATTGTGGCATTTTTCTTCTCTGCTGACATGAAGGGCATGATGGTTGTTGAGGTGGTGTTTGAGTACGAAATGGGATTTGTAGTTCGGTTGCTTTTTCCCTCTGTGTGATGTACACATGTAAGACATTGGTTCTCATGTGTACGTGCCATTGTGGAGTCATTTATGTGTGTGTGTGTGTGTGTGTGTGTGTGTGTGTGTGTGTGTGTGTGTGTGTGTGTGTGTGTGTGTGTGTGTGTGCATTCCCGTGTGATCCACAACGATGGCCCATTGAGGCTCAAAGGTCAGCCATGTTGTCGGGCAATAAAAATGTGCAGGTCAGTCAGCGCCGAGGTAGCAGCCTCGCCTGCATGACATTACAAATGTGCTATTTTGAGAGGGAAGTGTCCTCCGAGTCCGAGGTGTGACCACACATCCTCGCTGGGTGGGCTGTGCTGACTCACTGGGGTTAGTGCAAAATATGGC